AGTGATGGTGCTGGGTATTGAGGAAAGGCTGCTGAGTGTGGGCTGGGAGTAGGGGGACAAGGACAGGGCAGGGATTTGGGGTCAGGGAGTGGGATCGGGATTCAGGGGCAGCGTGGCCGGGGTGGAATGAGGGCACAGAGAGATGCAGGGAGGGCACAGAGATGCAGGGAGGGCACACAGAGGTGCAGGGAGGGCACAGACGTGCATGACAGATGCAGAGAAGGCACACAGAGGTGCGGGGTGGGCACCCAGAGGTGCAGGGAGGGCACAGACGTGCATGACAGATGCAGAGAAGGCACCCAGAGGTGCGGGGTAGGCACCCAGAGGTGCAGGGAGGGCACGTAGAGATGCAGGGAAGGCACCTAGAGGTGTGGGGTGGGCACCCAGAGGTGCGGGGTGGGCACCCAGAGGTGCAGAGAAGGCACCCAGAAGTGCAGGGAGGGCACGTAGAGATGCAGGGAAGGCACCCAGAGGTGCGGGGTGGGCACGTAGAGATGCAGGGAAGGCACCCAGAGGTGCGGGGTGGGCACCCAGAGGTGCGGGATGGGCACCCAGAGGTGCGGGATGGACACCCAGAGGTGCGGGGTGGGCACCCAGAGATGCAGAGAAGGCACCCAGAGGTGCAGGGAGGGCACCCAGAGGTGCAGGGAAGGCACACAGAGATGCAGAGAAGGCACCAAGAGGTGCAAGGAAAGCACCCAGAGGTGCGGGGATGGACACCCAGAGGTGCGGGGTGGGCACCCAGAGGTGCAGGGAAGGCACCCAGAGATGCAGAGAAGGCACCAAGAGGTGCAAGGAGAGCACCCAGAGGTGCGGGATGGACACCCAGAGGTGCGGGATGGACACCCAGAGGTGCGGGGTGGGCACCCAGAGGTGCGGGATGGACACCCAGAGGTGCGGGATGGGCACCCAGAGGTGCGGGGTGGGCACCCAGAGGTGCGGCGTGGGCACCCAGAGGTGCAGAGAGGGCACGTAGAGATGCAGGGAAGGCACCCAGAGGTGCGGGGAGGGCACCCAGAGGTGCAGGGAAGGCACACAGAGATGCAGAGAAGGCACCAAGAGGTGCAAGGAGAGCACTCAGAGGTGCGGGGTGGGCACCCAGAGATGCAGGGATGGACACCCAGAGGTGCGGGGTGGGCACCCAGAGGTGCGGGACCCCTGCGTGCCCGGCGGTGCCCGGCCGTGCCCGGCGGTGCCCGGCCGTGCCCGCGGAGCCGAGCCGCGGGCACCGCCGCCGGTCGTGCCGTGCCTCCTCCCTCCCTCTCCCCGCCCTCCCCGCTCCCTCCTGCCTCGGCCGGCGGCGAAGCCTCCCGGGGGGTGAGCCCGGGCACCCCGAAGCGGCCCCGGGGCCGGGGGCTCCGCACTTACCGGACATGCCGAGGGGGAGCGGGCAGCGCCTCGCCGGTGCCCGCTGCTGCAGCCCAGCCCAGCCCCGGCCCCGCACCGCCGGCCAAAAGGGGCGAGAGGAGCCAGCCCTGGAATTTTGGGGGTGAAAGCACCCGAGCGCCCGGTGGGAGGGCAGGTGGATCCCGGCAATATTATTGTTTTATCCCTACGGGTATAAGTTTGAGTTTTTCTCTCCTAATGGCAAGTATTTAAAACCTCTAGAAACCAATGATTTGACAATCAATGATTGCGCGATACTTTCAATTTGAATATTCAAAGGCTCCACAAAATGGGCTATCTTTTTGTGAAAGCGAGCACATCCCCATCTAGCAGAGGGTCTGGGGGAATAGGATTTGCCGGGGTCACCCTCCCCACCCTTTGCTTTTGGGACATTTGCAGGGTTTTAGCCATCTTCCCCTGAATGAAGCTGATGCCTGCGAAGCAGCTCAGTGTTTTCTCCTCAGATGCACAGGCTGGCCTCCAGCCCTCTCATATTTCATGTGCTACCTGCAGTGAGCACTCTGCAAGGCACCGACTCGCTTTTTGCTCGGTTTTTTTTTACGTTTTAAGGACAAATCCTGAGGGTTTGGGGCCAAAGTGGCAGTGGGCAGGCGTGGCCTAGCAAAGAGGCTGCCCTGGGCAGGCAGGAGGCTGAAGTGAGCTGGAGCCACTTTCCCCTCAGCATTCCCCCGCTCTGCCGGGATGCTGGGCTCGCTCTGGAGTTTCTCTGTGCTTTCCCCCAGCCCAGGCTGTTTGCCCGTGCTGCACAATTCAGCTTTTTCCTCACAAACCTCACTGCTGGCCTGCCCTGGGAGCGGCAGCTGTGGGGGTTCAGCGTGTGCCTCAGACTTTTGGGATGACCAGCAGTGCTGGAAGTGGGTTTTTAGGCTGTTTTTAAGCTTTTCCCTGAGGACCACAGGCTCAGCGAGGCAGAGAGCAGGCCAGGCTGTTAATCATCTACCAGCAGCTCAGGCCGGCTGTCGTCACAGCCGAACCTTTTCCTTTAAGTTGAGCAAATAACACTTGATTTCTGCGGGGACTGAGGCCATTGCTGGCTCTGAAATGTGCCCCTGCAGCTCCTGCTAGGCCAAGCCTGGCCTGGGACAGATTTATGGGGATATGTCCCTATAAAGAGAGGAGCCCAGAGCACAGAGGAGTGTGCTGTGCAGCACGGAGAGGGGGTCTCACTGAGGAATTTGGGATGTGAAACCCTTCCCTCCGTGGGGCTGCTGCCTGCTGGAGCTGCTGTGGGTGGGTGAGGGCTGCAGGGAGCTGGGGTGGGATTGCTGAGCCCTGTAAGAGGGAGCAGAGCCCGCAGGCTGCCCAGCTCCAGCTCTGGATGCCCTCAGGAGCCACGAGGCAGCAGAGCTCTGGCTGTTCCTGCAGGGCCTGGGCTGCAGAGCCCTTCCAGGATGCTGAAAATCCTGCCTGGCTTAGCAGCTGAATGCCTGAACACCTCAAAAACAGCTCCAAACCCTGTCCCTGCTGGTCCTCCAGAGCCCAAGGGCAGCACAGCCACCCTGGCCTGGTGCTCCCACAGCAGGAGCAGCTCAGATGTCACTGGGTGACACAAGGGTGACAGCAGTGACACCTCCACAGGTGCAAAATTTAACATTTTCCAGCCACTAGCACGCCCCAAACTGAGAACTGAAGCAGGGTGGAAGGGCAGCTCTGGCTGCTCCTGCTGCTCCTGGGCTGCAGAACCTTTCCAAAAACCTGCCTGGCTTAGGAGCTGAGTGCCTGAACACCTCAAAAACAGCTCCAAAGCTCCAAACGCTGTCCCTGCTGGTCCCCCAGAGCCCAAGGGCAGCACAGCCACCCTGGCCTGGTGCTCCCACAGCAGGAGCAGCTCAGATGCCACTGGGGCTCAGGCCAGCAGTGGTGTCAGCTGTGGAGTGGAAAAGGCTCAGGTTTGGGGGCAGGAGAGCTGCACACACCCTGAGCTGATGGGGAAAAGGCTCAGGTTTGGGGGCAGGAGATCTGATGGGGGAACAGCTCTGGCTGGGCTGGGGCCACCCCTGGAGGCTCCACAACTGCCACTCGTGGGCAGGTGCTGGGAGGTGCTGGGAAGGCTCCAAACACCCCCAGGATTTGAGGAGAAAAGGCAAGGAGGGATTGACAGCACCTGATCCCCACACATTCCCTGGGGCTGGAGTGCTCCAGAGCCTCCTGCTGCTGCTGCTGTGGGTGCCAGGCTCGGGGGCGAGCTGGGGCAAAGGGGGTGACCTGCTCCGTGGGACACAGCAAAGGGATGTGGGGCAGAGCAAAGGGATGTGGGGCAGGCACAGCAGCGGGATGTGGGGCACACAGAGGGATGTGGGGCAGAGCAAAGGGATGTGGGGCACACAGAGGGATGTGGGGCACACAGAGGGATGTGGGGCANCAGAGGGATGTGGGGCACACAGAGGGATGTGGGGCACACAGAGGGATGTGGGGCAGGCACAGCAGCGGGATGTGCTGCTCCGGGAGGAGTTTGTGTGTGCAGAGCTACCTCTAGTGGCCACGGGCCCCGCAGGGTGCCCAGGGCTGGCTACCGGTCCCATTGGCACCACCAGCCCACCTGGATGGCTCTGCGGCTGGCTACCATTCCTGTGGCACTGCCAGCCCACCTGGATGTCAATAGTTCTGGCTACCAGTCCTGCTGGCACTGCCAGCCCACCTGGATGTCAATAGTTCTGGCTACCAGTCCTGCTGGCACTGCCAGCCCACCTGGATGGCTCTGGGCCTGGCTACTGGTCCTGCTGGCACTGCCAGCCCACTGGGATGCCCCTGGGGCTGGCTGCTGGTCCTGCTCCCAGTGCCAGCCCACCTAGGTGCCCCCGGAGCTGGGTACCACTCCCATGGGCACTGCCAGCCCACCTGGATGTCAATAGTTCTGGCTACCATCCTGCTGGTACTGCCAGCCCACCTGTATGCTTCCAGGGCTGGCTACTGGTCCTGCTGGCGCTGCCAGCCAAGCTGGATGTCCTTAGGGCTGGCTACTGCTCCCGGGGCACTGCCAGCCTACCTGGATGTCAATAGTTCTGGCTACCAGTCCTGCTGGTACTGCCAGCCCACCTGGATGGCTCTGGGGCTGGCTACTGGTCCTGCTGGCACTGCCAGCCCACCTGGCTGCCCCCGGAGCAGCCCGCTGTGGGTGTGGGTCTGCTGTGGGCTCATTCAGGGTATGAGGGGGGTCAGGGTGTTGGGGGCTCTGCAGGTGGCAGGGGTCAGCGGGCAGGGCAGTGCCCACACCCTGCAGAGCCTCCAAACTGCCCCGGCTGGAAAAGCCCACTGAGGAGATACTTGCTGGCAGGAAAAACCCACAGAGCACAGAGGGTTTTCAGGCTGAGGGTTTTACTTGTGGGGTGGGAGAAATTCCTTTCTCGAGGCACTGGAAGGCACCACCCCGAGCTGTGGTGTGTCCAATGATTGTATTTCTAACCAGAGCGCATCAACTTTGAAGGAACCATTTTAGGAAGGAGCGTACAATCTGCTTTATAATGGTCTGGTGTTCATTCCTCCAGCTCTTCTCTCTCCTCAGTAAGTTCTCCTGCCTTCATAAGTCCCCCAGAGGGCACTTCCATCCTCTTTAGGCCAGGCAGAGTGCTCGGGAAGGTGTGGTGGCTCTGGGGGCTGCTGGGAGCACGGGTGGCTCATCCTGGAGGGCTCGCTGGCCACCAACGGGGACAAGCCGTAGGGCGAGGTGGCGGCGTAGCTGGGCGAGTAGTGGGCATCTTCAAAGGGGTGCAGAGGGTAGGGCTGGGCTCCAGGGAGGCCTGGGGTCCAGCCTGAGCCTCGGAACGGGGAAGCAGCTCCGGGGTCGGGCAGGGAGAGGCAGCTGGAGCTGGCAGGGAGCGGCTGCAGCGGCTCTGGGCAGGCACTGTCCGGCTGGCCGAGGCTCTCGGGTGAGGTCTGCTCCCAGGCCTCTCTCTGCAGGCAGACAGGGAGAGAAGGCAAGGAAAACGCTTAGGAACAAAAGGCTGCGCTGGAGGTAATGGAGTTTCTATCCCTGGCAATGCCCAAAGGGTTTCTGTGGCTCTGGAGCAGTGGTTGGGGTTTAGCTGTGAAGGGTCCCAGTAGGGCTGAGCAGCCCTGACCCTGCAGTGTGAGATCCCAGCACATCCCTCTGGCTGCCCTCGCTGTCCCCAGACCCTGGAAGGGGCTCAGAGACCCTGGCACAAAGTCAAAAACACCTGTGGCTTTGATTTTAGCCCATGGAAAAAGCTGCCAAATCTCTATGAGGAATTACAAGCCACAAGAGTTTGAGGAGTGTAGTAGTTGAGTTAACACAGGGTGGAAAAGTAGAATTCTGGGGTTTTAGAATGGGATTCAGGGGGTCACAATGGAGGAATCTGGGCGTGTCCTGGCCTTCTCCTTCTCCTTGCCCTCCATGCCTTGCTGTGATGGTGACACTTTTCTGTTGGTTTAAGGCACAGACACACTGCCCAACATAAATTATAGATATTGGCACGTTATTGTAAATATAGGTAATAGGCATTGGGGAAAAACTGTACGCATGTAACACGTAATGTACCATATAAAAGATAGAAAAGCACCATTTAATATAGGTAATGGGCATTGGGAAAAACTGTAAACATGTAACATGTAATGTACCATATAAAAGATAGAAAAGCACCATTTAATATAGGTAATAGTCATTGGGGAAAACTGTAACCATGTCACACGTAATGTACCATATAAAAGATAGAAAAGCACCATTTCATATAGGTAATAGGCATTGGGGAAAAACTGTAACCATGTAACACGTAATGTCCCATATAAAAGAGAGCAGCAGCCCTGGTGGGAGAGAAGAAGCAGTCGGGGTCAGAGAGGATGTCAGGGTGTGTGTGTGCCTCTGCCTGAGCTGTGAGCAAACCACAGCAGCCCGAGGAGAAAATCTTTTAGATAACTTGCAATAAACTGCCTTGAGACCCAACAACAGAGACTGCTGAGTTTTCTTTGGAAGCTCGGATTGGAGGAGAGACTTTTCCACCACACGAGACACTTGACCTAGGGTGACTCTGGCACCCCACGAGTCCCCCTGACCAAACCCCACATTTCAAGGGGTGACCTGCCCTGGGGGACAGAAGCACGAGGCACTCACGAGCAGGAGGTGCCCCGTGTCGCTGGGGAAGGATGGCAGGAGAGGGGGCACGGCCGCGGTGCTGAAGAAGGAGCTGGTGGCAGCTGGGAGAGGAGGAGGAGCACGGTGATCCCCGAAATGCTCGCTGAGATAGGGCTCCAGGAGGGCTGGGTAGCCCTGGGAGGCAGAGGGGTCACAGGAGAAGGGTTTGGAGCCCAGAGGGGAGGGGTAGACATCGCTGACAAACTGCTTGCTGCTGTGGAAATCCAGCTCGGCCGGGAAGGATCTGCGGCCGCCGTAGTAACCAGCCGTGGTGGGCGAGCCTGGGGGGCAGAAAGAAGGGTGGGAAAGTGGAAAGAAAATTCCAACAGCTGCCACAGCATGATGGGGACCTTGGTGGGTGCAAAGCAGAGCCCTTTTCTCACCAGCATCACCCAGGAGCCCACCCTGCCCTGGCATAGGTGTTCCTTGTTCTACATTTTGGCTCCATCTGGTGACCTCCACCAAAAGGGTTGGGGAAGTTTTGGATAGGAGGTCAGCTCAGCCAGGCTGGGCTTCTGCCCTGCTCTGCTACAGCCCCTGGGGAGGAGGTTCCAGCCTCACTCTGCTTTCCCTGCCCCAGAGCTCAAAGGATAAAACAGGTCAGCTCCTCATTTTGTGCTTTTTTCTCCACCTCCAGGGAGAAGGGGAAAACACAGGAGGAAAAGGGGAAAACACAGGAGGAAAAGGGGAAAACACAGGAGGAAAAGGTGAAAACACAGGAGGAAAAGGGGAAAAACACAGGAGGAAAAGGAGAAAACATAGGAGGAAAAGGGGTAAAACACAGGAGGAAAAGGAGAAAACATAGGAGGAAAAGGAGAAAACATAGGAGGAAAAGGAGGGGTTCTCTGCTAAAAGAGGTGGGAACTGCTTTAATTACTCTGTTTGAGGATTTTATACAAGATTATCGCTGTTCTTTTTGAGATTCTTTTAATTGCTTTCCTCCTGGGCTCGCTCGGAGGGGTTGCCCTGCTCCGGGAATTGTTTCCCATCTCTGGAGGAGAACAGGAGGGCTCTGCCCACCCTCCCACCTGCACGGAAGGTGTTGAACACTGGAGGGAAAACCTCACCTGGCATTTGGCTGAAGGGCGACTGTGCTGTGCTGGTGCTGCCCTGCAAAAGATAGAGAGATGTTTGAAAACACGACTTTTCAAAGCTGGGCAGCCCTCTGAGTGAATTCACACATAATACTTGAGCCTGGGTGCTGCCAAGGGTTTAACTCCATGGTTTCCTCACAGCAAGCAGCAGAAATTGGGAAGGTCTCGTGCAGAACTGCAAAGAGGAGGAGTATCAAGATAACTGACTTCTTCCTCCTGTCCCACAGGGTCCCTCAAAGCAGGCAGAATGCTGAGGAGTCCTTTGGGTGCTGGCACAAAGCAGGCAAGGTGAGATCTGAGCCCCTGGGTGGCCAAAATGGGCAGATTCCAGCTCGTGCTGCTGCCCCAGGGCTGCTTTACTGGCCCTTCCTGGCAGCATAAGCAGGCTGGGTGGAAAAAGAGTTCCTAGATCCTATTTGGGTGCTACGACAATGGTTATGATAATAATAATGATATTATTAATCATCATCCTCTCCTCTTGGTCCCCAGGTGAAGGAGAATTACCCCTGGAGTAACCCTGGTGCTCCCAGTGCCTAAATCCTTCCAAAGCACCCTGGAAAGGCATCTGCTCCTCTGGAATCCCACTGAAATGTGGTTTTGGGAGCTCCAAGCCCGCAGAGCAGGAACAGAGAGCCCCCAGCAGCACTGGTGTCACTCTGCTGTGCCCTGGCCAGTGCTGATGGCACGCTCTGTCCAGTTTGCATAGTGCAAACAGGAGGTTCCTGCCGCAGCAGGCAACCAAATTTAGAGGTTTAGATTTGAATTAAATTTGCCAGCCCTGAGGACTTCCTTCTCCTGCCGAGGGAAGGTCTGCAGCTGCTCCCTGCTCCTCCAGGGAAATCAGCTCTGAGCCTGCAGAGGTGGCAGGAGGGGACAGGAGGTGTCAGGAAGGAGCTCCAGAGCTTGGGGACAGAGGAGTGTCCTTGTCACACGGGCAGGGCTCGCACCTGTCCCCAGCTGAAGCCATCACATGCAAATCCAGGTCCTCTCCCAGCATCCAGGTCACTTTTAGAGGAGAAAGCCAAGCTGGCAGGTCCAGGCAGCACAGCTGCTGCAGGGATGGGAGCTGGGATGCTCTGCCCAGGCCCCTGGGCACGGCTGGCAGCCTCCAGCAGGGATCATTTCCAACTTCCAGAGCATTTAATCTTTGATCCTGTCTGTTCAACAGCCACTGGAACTGCCTGGCCGTGTGTGCACACCTGTGGTGGAGAGTCCCAGAGGTGCCAGGAGCTACCAGGGCTTTAGCTGCCTGAAATCACTGCAGGAGCCTCTGCTGCAGCCCATCCTTGGCCTCATCAGAGCAGAGCCCTGCATTTCATTCCCCTCCTTGCTCCTTCCTGGCCTTAACTGAGAGCCATTAGTTCATTTCCTCCCGGCTCTGCTTCTTCTCCCTGCCATGGGAATGGGGAGCCTGGATCTGCTCAGCCTCCCCGGGGCCCAGAGTGTGTCCAGCTGTTGGTAAGCTGGGCTCAGCCTGCCCTGCCCATGGCCAGCCTCAGATCCTGCCTGGGGCTTCTCCAGACAGCTCTGCTGCTTCACTGCCTCCTAACTCACCGAAAAATCTGCCTGAAATTTAAGCATCCAGCTCCAAATCATGACCTGGCCCTGCCCCGTGGCAATGCTTCGGCTTCAGGGCAGCACCTCTCTGGGCCCAGTCGGTAGTGGAGCAGCTGAAGGAATAAAAATTCTCCAAAAATCAAAGCTGAGCCTGGGCAGGGCAGTGCTGGCTGCGTGTCCCTGCTCTGGGAGTGCTGCTGGGTGCTCAGCAATGAATCCTCTCTGGACCACAGCACTGCACTGCTCCACCTCTGCAGGTGCCCACTTCCACACCTCGGAGAAGACAGGAACCCTTTCACCCTGAGGAGGACAAGTGCAGCTTCACGCCTGTGCAAAGGAAAAGCCAGAGCCTCCCTAAAGGCCAGGCTGCAGCCCTGCAGGTGGTGCAGAGCCCAGATTTTGTGTGGCTTTCCTCACAGCCCACCTTGATCTCCATCACTCGCCGTTTCTTTCTGCAGCAAACATCACCCTCCAGCAAAAGAAGCAGCTGAATTACCCTGCACCACCAACAGGCAGAGGGGTGCTCAGTTACCTGCCCCTGCCTTTGATTTTGGGCTGGGTTCTGCCCGACAAACAGAGCTGCACTTCCAGCTGCTCTTTTCATCCGAGCAAATACGGATGTTTGCCCTGCACAATCATTTTCTGTCTCCTGCAGGCAATGAGCAGCAGGGCTGGTTTTGCATCAGAGAGACACGCTCAGCTGCTGGGCTCTGCAGCACAAAGCCAAGGGCAATAAAGCCAGGAGGATTTTACAGTTCCAGGTCGTTTCCCCTGGGGCTGTTGAAGCTGCCGCCTCCAGAGAGGGAGCAGGTCCGTGGGGATATCACCAACAGGAGCTGTTTTCTCAGCTGCTCCCCAGGAATTCCTCCTAAATTCATTATCTGCCTGCTGCCAGTGTGTCCTCCCCAGTTGGCTCTCCATGGCTCTGGGGCTTTCTGCCTCCCTGCAGCAGCTGAAGCCTGTGGGGATGGATCTGTGGCTGGATTTTGCTGTGTTTGGTGATGCCCAATCCTGGTTTTTTGTTCTTTGTTTGTTTGTTTTCCTGCCTGTTTTGTCACACAGTCAATGAAGCTGAAAGTCACAGCAAGTAAATCCCCGTGAGGCTTCTTCAGCATAAAAAAAAAGCCAGAGGTAAATGGTTTGGGGGAAAAAAACATCAGAACTCCCAGTTTGTGCTGCCGGTGACCCGGGGCTCTGCTCCCTGTCTCTCCTTGCAGGACACAGCTCCTGCTCCCCCTCCTCTGGCAGCATCCCCGGGCTCCCAGGCACTGAGGAGCTGCTGCCCAGCAAAGGTGAGTGCCAGGAGCACCCAGGGAAGGGCCCCTCGTGCCCCTGGATGCCACCACATCCTGGCATCACCGTGCTGTGTCCCCTTCTGGGGACAGCCTGGCTTTGTGGCTGCCAATTGAGAATTAAAAAAAACACCAAAAAAGCAAAAAAACAATGTAGTGCAGTAGGATTTGGGTTTCCTGTTGCCATAGAAGCACTTTAAGAGGAAATCATCTCTTCCAGGCTGATGCTTGGCCTCTTTCCAGCCCATCACATCCCTGGCACTCGGAGAGGAGCTGGAAGGAGCTCAGCTTTTGGGGAAGAACAGATATTTTTGGGGCACTGACTTGTGCAGGTGTAGCTGGAAAAGGAAGTCGACTCGGTGTGGATATTCTCAGTTCAGTCAGGGAGAAAAAGAGAAATATTTCTGCCAGGCTAAGCCTGGGGAAGAGTCCGAGAGGGATGTAAACAATCAATTATCTTGTTTACTCATATTGTTTATAGGATGTTCTACCACACGGACCTAAGTCCAATGTGCCAATCAGGTGAAATGTTTTTACTCTAAGACCAAAGGAATTAATGTTCACGATGTTCTCTATAAAAGAGAGAAGCGCTTTTTGAATAAACTTTCATTTGCCTTCTGAAATCGTGCGAGTCATTTCGCCTGCCCCTGGCCCACCAGCGTTAATTTGGGAAGGCGTCACACGTAGGATGTGAAAGAGGAATTGAACAGCATTGCCACGATTAAAAAAGGAAAATTAAGGGGATATTTAAGACAGACAGATATGAAATCAAGGAGGCATCAGCAATGTTTTGGGGCACGCATTCTATTAATTACATTAACATTGTATTAACTACATTAAAATTAAATGAATTACAGTAACATTACATGACCAATGCAAGCAGGGGGCGGGACGCTGGGACTTTAGGGGGTTAAAAAAGGGAAAAGGACTCACGCTGCAGCGGGAGCCGCTGCCCTGCCGGGAGCGCTTTTCAGCCAGCAGGTCCTTGACCGTGTGCTTCACTCGCACTCCTTGGTACACCCGGGCGCCAAACTCTGCGGGGACTGAGCAAAGGCACAGGTCAGGGCAGCACAGGGCGCCCGGAGCAGCAGTCTGTGCTCCTGCTAGGCAGGGAAAAGTATTAAAAATAGATATATAATATATAAAAAAATATATATAAAATATACTAGATATAAAGTATAAAAAATATATTATATATATATATATATTTTATATATATATATATATATATATATATATAATATATAAATATATATATAATATACTAGATATAAAGTATAAAAATATATAATATTATATATATATATATATATATATATATAAATATATATATATATACTAGATATAAAGTATAAAAAATATACTAGAAATAGAGAAAGAGTTGTCATCCGGAAAGATATCCATTTCTAGATATAGAAATTATTACATATATATATAATATATATTCCCATATATAGAAATAGATAGAGAGAAAATATCGAAAAGTGATTTAAAGTATAAAATGTCAATATATTATTAATAGTAATAAATAGTATAATATAGCAGCATATTATATATTATATACTATATATTATATACTATATACTATATATTATATTATATATTATATATTATATATTATATATTATATATTATATATTATATATTATATATTATATATTATATATTATATATTATATTATATATTATATAATATATATTATATATTATAGGATTTTCAGAAGGCTAATTAATTCCTTTATTAAACGGTATTATACTATATTAATGTAGTATTGATATTATATTATTCGTGTATTAGTATATATTAGTATATATTAGTATATAGTACTAATATATTAGTATATAGTACTATAGTATATAGTATATAGTACTATACATGCTATAGTACTATATTAGTATGTAGTACTATAGTATATAGTATATAGTACTATATATATAATATATACTAATATATATATTAGTATTTATAGTACTATATACTAATATATATATATAAGTATATATATAGTACTATATACTAATATATATATTAGCATATAGTACTAATATATATGCTAATAATATTTCAGAAGGCTAATTAATGACTTTATTAAACTGTAAAATTAATTTTTTTTTATTATTAATAAAAAATACTTTGATAAAAAATACTTTGATAAAAATTTCCTTTGATAAAAATTTCCTTTGATAAAAATTTAATAAAAATGTACTTTAATAAAAATTTACTGTAGCAAAATTTTGCTTAAAGAAAAAATTGCTTTAAGAAAACAATTTACTTCATTAATTTCCAAATTCCTTTATGAAAGGGGAGTCGGAGCACATCATCCCGCCCACGCCAGGCACTGCAGCACCTGCGGGCTGTGGCGCGGGTGGGAGCTGCGGGACAATGCAGGGACAGCTTTGCTTTTTTATCCTGCCCTGAACGCAGCTCGCACCTGCGGAGCCAGGGAGGAGCTTCCCCGTGAATTATCCCGGAAAAATCCTCCCAGCCTTTGAAGCTAATCCCTGGAAAGGCAGAGGCAGAGGCAGGCGATGCCTTTGATCCCCAGGATTTGGCCTTTGGCTCTCCTGCCCCTCAGGACGTGTCCCTTGGCTCCGTTTCTGGTGGCTTTGTGGCCTCGCACACCTGTGGCAGCACAATTCTCTCCCTCTCAGGATTTTCATAGAGGTGCACAGAGAGAAATAAAAGAGAAAACAATTTCTATTTCTGCTCCTTGTTTTTCCCGTGTGGGATGTGTGTGGAGAATTGTTTCCCTGGGGTGATGCTTGGTTGGATTCTGGTGAGGATTGTTTGAGCCTGGTGGCCAACCCAACCCTGTTGCAGAATTTCTGAGAGACGGAAATCATGATTTATGTTTGGAAGGAGGTTTGAGCTACCCACTCAGACTAGGCCTGAGGAGCAGCCTTGATGGGGCCTCGGAGCCTTTGATGCAGTGAGAATTCAGTCGTGGTGCAGTCAGAAATTATGTTAAGGTAATTACAAAGTAATCAGCTATCCGAGCGTGAATTAGAGCAGAGATGCAGTGTGAAAAGTTTGACCACCTTAAGGAAAAGGTAAACGATGCTAGTGTGCCAATCAGAGTGTCTTTGTTTTTGTAAACTATGTAGGAGCTGGTATAAACTGCCATCTTATCTCAAATAAAGGGAGAAGGTTTGATTAACCACATTGGTTCAGATCTGTTTGTCTTGTCCAGCTTCCCGTTTTCCTGAGATTTCCCTGGCTTTTCAACCCACCTGGGGCTGGGCTCTCAGAGAGGGTCACGACTTGTGTGTGAGTTAGAGTCAGAGCAAGTAGCTTTACTATCCTCCTTTTATATAGTATATTAATGTATTTTAGCATAGTTCTAATAAAGAAATCATTCAGCCTTCTGAATTGAGTCAGGCATTGTCATTTCTTCCCATTGGGTTCACGTGCATTTACAATACACACCAAGGGAGGTGAGAGGGTTTAAACAACGCACTGCTGGCTTGGCCAAATTGCTGTTTTTTTAATTTTTTTAATTTTTTAAATTTTTTTAATTTTTAATTTTTTTTAATTTTTTAATTTTTTAATTTTTTTAAGTTTTTGGGGGCATAGCAGCTGCAAGTTTGGGCGAGTGGCATTTTATTTTGGTGTTTGAGTGCTGATCAAAGAGCTTCAGCCAAGGCCAGGCACAAAGCAAACACAAAGCAAGGGACAGATTGCCAAAAATGAGGTGAGAGTACCCCAAAAAAATGCAACAAAAGTGGTTCAGAAATAGACATCAGCTCTCACAGAGGAATTCCAGCAGGTCTGGCGCTCTGCAGGTTTTCCTGACACCTTTGCTGTGCTCTGAAGGCATTAGAAAATCACTTCCACACCCTTCTGCTGCTCTGGGCTGTGGAGCTCACATCACATCCTCAATTATTCCTCTGCCCAAATTGTTTTAATTCAGCAACACTCAACCCCTCTAACCCCAGGCTGAAGTTATAACACAGCTGAACCCGCTGCTTCCAGTGGATTATCCAGAGGTTTCTGGTGCTGAGCTGTCAGAACTTCAGACAACTCTTCCACTGGCAGCACCAGGGAAGAAAATACTCATTTAGGCCTGAGTTGATATAATTTCCAAGCAAATTGAATCCAATTTCACATCACTTTGATCTAACTGCCTTTTGAAAAAAAAAATAATGATAATAAAGCATAGCACTGTGAAGGAATATAAATTCAATCTGGAGAAGGCAGAACACGTTAATTGATACTATTAAATTTTGGGGGCATTTAAGATGTCACATGTCTATTCTAGACAAATTTTTGTGGGTTTTTTTTCAATAGGAGCCCAAGGACAGCACAGTTTGTTCCTTCCCTGATGTTGCCATGAAGATGCCTCAGCTTGTGGAGATCTGAGCTGCTGGAACTCACCTGCTTCCATTGTTGGTGCTGCTGACGAGTCCCAGCTCCCGGATCCTGCAGGAATTTGGGGAAGATCTGTCCCTCATGAGCTTCCCAGAGCAGAGTGAAGCCTGTGCTCACAACTCCCTGGGACACTTCCAGCTGAGCCTGGCGGAAATGGGTTTTCTAGAATTTAGGGATGTCTCCAGCACCATACCTCGCTTGGGATTTGCTTAAATGCAAATCCCTGGATCTGGGTTTCACTCCACTTTGCATGGTCAGTGTGGGTTCTTCCCCAGGAGCTTCCTTCCTGTCTGAGCTGGCATTTCATGGGTGAAAAACGCAGGTTTCTGGGCAGAAAAACGCAGGTTTCTGGGCAGAAACTCACAGGTTTATGGGCAGAAAAACACAGGTTTATGGGCAGAAAAACCTCGTGGCAAAG